TGTTACTTCTGAAAGAGAGCATGACATGTTAGGATCAAGAGTTCTACCAAAATCCTAGTAAAAAAAAAAAAAAATCTTTTCCACAGTGAGATGCAGTTCAGTACTAGTTAAGAACAAATTTCCACGAAGTAATGTTATCGAGCCCTTGTTTAGTGTAGATCAAAATTAGATTTTTAGTAGATTTTGATAAATGTCGATGAAATGTGTGATTAAAATTAATTATTGACTTTGACTTGAGATTTTGATTTGTTTTTAAGCTAAACCAAACTTGGGCTTAATGAAAAAATAAAAAAAAATAAAAAAAATACCTAAGCTGTCTCAATAATTAGTAACAGTATTGTGTAATTTGAACTAAAAACAGACGCAAATAATATATACCGTCGACCTTAATAAACAAAATTGATCAGTTTCTCAATTTGTATCAGTATTCGACTTAAGTCTCTCCAAGGGAAATATCTCGAATCACTGGGAACGCCAAGTAAAAACCACATTGAGGACTACTTTTAAAACAGAAGCCATATGATCCCAATCAAAATGTAACTTTTCTTTGCACAAGTCTGGCATTGAACGCCTCCTGCATCCAATATTATGAACATGTTGGGTGAAACTATACATCCACAATGTATTCGCAGCAAAGAAGAATTCATCGCCCAAGACTTAGATAATATAATATCTAATCTCTAGCGAATCCCGGAGTTCTCCTGAAGTAAAAATGTTGAATTTTTTTCACAAGATTCACAAATCCAACCAGGAGCCTTCAAGTCGAAAGTCTCAAAATTTCCCGTCCTCATAAGGTAGAACTACATATAAATTAAATTACCACATCGATTGACAATGTAGAAAAGAACATGTTTGAAACCCATTTTTTGGAGAATGAAATTTTTGGAATAGTGATTGATGGGAGATTATGAGGTGGAAAAGTTATGAAAAGTTTTAGATTTGTGTGTAATATTATTTTATTGGAAAAATATGTGGTTGAAATGAAGAGAGAAAAAAAAATGAGAATGAGAATTAAATAAAAATGGGTGTCAAACAGGGGCTAAAATTTAAGTATCTCCTATTGTCTCTAAAATGTTTGCAGTAAGTTAATTCTCTCACAAGTTTCTAATTTGTCTCTCCATCCAAAAGTAATGTGAATTAATTGTTAACTGCTTTACAAACTCAATACCTTAGGATAATAGTCCATGTAAACTCTTCAAAATGCTACATAGGCAGATAACGTCTACACTTTACCTTCTTAATATTAATAATAATTCTGTTGGGCTATGATGTCAAATCCAGACTAATTTGGGCAATGATAAAATTGGGCTTGGTCCAATAATTTTTTTTTTTGCCTGATAATTTCAAAAGAGGAAATTACACAAAACCCTACTTTTCAAAATCCATATTCAAAAATCAGATCACAAGTTTAGCTTTTCAAAAATCAGATATTTCAT